ACTTTCGTTCAGAATCGTTTTTTTGAATATAAAGATTCGTTACTCCTAAAAGTATACAAATATTTTGTAATAAATATATCAGTCTGACTTCTTATTTAAAATTCAAATTAAATACCATTCTCTGTGCAACTATTCGCCAGCTATAGATCTTGTCAGAGAAACTTTTCGTCGAAGAGCCAACTTTTAGTTTACTTAACCTTGTCCATAGTATAAATTTTAATAAGTGGTAACTAATTAATAATTAATTCAATTTGATACTTTTTCTTTATTTTGTAGAAATTGATCATGTACTTGCAGTACCGTATTTCCCAGTAAATACTATAAGCTAGTTTTTAGGGCGGCAATTTCTTAAGGACGACAAATAATTTTTAATATTACATTTTTATTATGTATGTAACTAGAACTAAAGTAAATTCAACTAATTATAAAATGATTAATTTTATTAAAGCCGATGGGTACTAGGCACTAACTATTTATTTTTGAATATAATTTAAAAATTAACTATTTAAGCATTTTTATTACCATTTTTTTTATCGTTATATTTTATATCATATTTTTATAATTAAGTTTTTCATATGAATGTATGTATGCATTTTTATAATAGCTGTATATTTATATTTTACATCAATAAAATTTTAAGTAATAAAGAAAACAACTATAATTGTATGCTTTAATAACATTTTTTAAACTAGAAAAATATTTATACTAATAGGCGGCAATTTGTTTAGTGCTTAAAGCGGCACAATGGTTAAATCCGACACAGTGTACTTGTATTTCTACACTTCATTATTTTATTTTTACTTAATGTTTTGTAATTTTACAATCATAAATTTATATTAGTTATTTCATAAAATGTTTTATTATAAAAATGAGTCAGTTGAAAGCTGTGATTTATTTATTTAAATTTTTGGTTTGGTTCTTAAATATACTCAAATAAAAATAGATTTTTCTTAGTTTCTGGAAACAGATTAGAAACACATATATTTTGATTCATCCGTGTAACCCTTCGTTATTCAGGATGATTCAACCCATATCTATTGGTTACCTGATTGGTCATTTTGATTCACCATCCACTACTGATTCATATACAGCGACTATGGCTGCAATTGCATTGCTGTTATCTACATTACTGTGCACCATTGGAATGCACCAGTATATGCTTGGTCAAGTTGAAATTGGTTTTAAAATACGTGTTGCTGTGACCACTATTATCTACTCAAAGGTAGATAGCCTTTTAAGAATACTTATCAAAAGTAAAATTTAATGATATAAGATAGTATTATTTATGTTTAAAATTGGTTTTTAAAATCAGTGGCGTAACTTCAAAATGTGGGTGATATTTTTAATATGTCCACCCAGACAACTTCAAATTATTGTATATACATTTCAAACAATATTACATTTTTCAAATACACATCTTATCAAATTGAAGCATATACAAATAAAATATTTGGTTAGGTGTTTGAAGATAAATATTTATATTATTTATATAATTTTAATTTATGTCATATTAGCTGTTTTAGGAGAAAAAAATAATTTGGTAGAAGTCATCGTTCACCATGTGTATAAAAATTGGATATGTTGATAACATAATATCAATGATAATATTCACAATCGAATCGCATATAGGATTTGACATAATAAACCATAGAGTTACAAATATGTAGCAAAAGTTCATGAAGGAAAAATTTGATTGAAGTATATTTTTGAATAGTTAAAAACAATGCAATAATATATTTTTGAATCAACAAAAACATTTTTCCCTTCGGGTTTTTCAAGAGTTTTTCGGGTGTCAAGGCTCAAGTGATGCCACATCTTACAATTCTTCTGAGTTACGCCACTGTCTTTAATATCTAATAAGCTCTTAAATTATTTGTTACATACTATAGTTTCTCTGATGTTTGTAATATAAATGTATATATGTTTTATATTATATAGAGTATTGTAGTTGATCATTATATTCTTTGCTTATTGACTATTTTTTCACTCTTTTCTTCTTTTTATCTTGCATTGTGAGTAATAACTTTTTAATATTAGCTAATTTAAATAGTTTTTACTTTCTACAAACATTTAATTGTATTTTATGTTGGAAAATATACTTAAAATTTATTCGTTTTATAATCAATTAACTATTTGTTGTTGCTATTTGTATGATTTAGTAGATTGTATTTCTATTATATTAGCTTGTATTGTTTTATTTATAACACACTTATATTATAAATTATAATTTATTTCGATTCTTTTTCACTTATTTTTAATTAAAAAATAATTTTTCGCTTGAAGTATATTTATTTGATTGAGGATATTTTTTATGCATTAATATTTCTGGTGTCTAGTACATTATTTTATAATTATATTAACAGTAAAATCTTTGAAAGTTTGAAGTCCTTTAAAGTGTTAGTGTTTATTAATGGTTTAAATTATTACAAAATTCAGTTAAATTTTAAAAGAAATTTTCTTCTGCTTATTGAGATTTAATGAGACATTAATTGAGACATATATATCTTATTTTTAAATGTTTTTAATATATATATTGGTTACGATTACTTAGTTGTGATTAAATGTTAATATTAATGTATTATTAGTAGGACAAAGGATTTATAACATTTTCATATTTGTTTTGCACAACCACAAAAATAGTAGAATATGAAACAAATATGTTTCATGCTTTCACAAAGCTAGTCTTGAAATTTTATTTTGCATATAAATGTATGTTTCGAGTTTTTTTTGTTTTTAGGCATATTTCTTTCATTTTATACTTTTAGATTTATATTTAAAATTATTTATCATTTCATCAATACTTTTCTGCCAATTATTCTGATAGAACGTTAACAATTCCATAAACGAAAAAATTTCATTGCACTGTCTTGTCAGTGTTCGTAAATAATTTAATATTATGGTAATTTAGCTTTTGTTCTGCTGTCTACGTATGTGCATCTATCTATTCGTCATTCGTGTTAACATTTCGTTTTTATCTACTGTTTTACCATTAAAATATAACATTAAGATAAGTAGTCTTAAACAATCGTTTAAAGAGTTATTTATCAGAATTCGGTGTCGATGTGTTTTCAACAGACGGTTAAGTTCCATACTGTATAAGTATTGTGATGTTAGTGGAGTGGCAAACATATTTCAAATCCTAAGTAAAGTATTTAAACAATGACTCACTCCCTTCTCTTACTACATAATATATATATGTCTATAACTATTCAATTGTAGTACCTATAGGATTTTCCTTAATTCCTTTCGTATATTCGTATATCTAACCATATCTACCATATGTGCATATTAAATTATTTTTCAATGCATGCAATCAGCCAATTAATGTAATCATTTAAATAAAATTTGTTCATATATACATGAGTCAAGGGATACCCAGCCTCCTGATAGGTTTCTAGGGCTAAATTATTGCATTAGGACAAACGTCATTCACCACACTACTGTGTGTTGTGAAAGTAGACTGAAAAATGATTTAAAGTTATGCAATATTTATGACATATATTTTATAAATAAATTGCTTAAAAAAAATATAGAAGCATTTTTAAAGGTTTATAAGTTTTTAAGCGGTTGAATATTAAGTATTATTTTTAAAGCTACAAATCCTCTGCTCTAATTATTAGTATGAGCAAATAAGTTATAATTGAAAATAAACATTAGATATTGAAAGAGCAAAGTTCGGGATAATATTTTATTTTATTTATATTTTTTATTTTGTGGCTATTGGCCATTAATATATTATTGAATTATGGATTCTTTAGTTTTAAATAATTCAATTTTTTTTTTTAGCTATTGGGTGTATAAAACCTAATAATATTATTTATCTTTAATAACAAAATACTTAATTCGTTCTTAGTTTACAAGCATACCAAATTATTTCAATTATTTTATTTTGAAATCTCTGTAAGTTAACGTTTTAACACGATAGTGTCTACATAAATGGGTAGAAAATTATAATTTAAAGATATTACATTTTGTAAATTACATGTTTTTGATGTAATTGTATGTAGCAATTACATACCCATATATGGTTAATTACTCGACTTTTCAAACATCTGAAACAATACTTAATCAATCATAATTTTTTCACTTCTTATTTTTGTACTATGTTGTACCATATTTTATAACCATACTTTATGATCTAATCTACCCATAACAATAGCAATGTTAAGTAGGACCTGATTACGAAATCTGTCGCCCCTACGGTGTATTCAAAAAGGAAAGGCTCCAGAAGGAGGCCCTCAAAAAAACAAAAAACATATACAATTATATTTTACAGAGTTAAAATAGAGATAAAACTTCTAGTATTTAGTATAAAATGTATTTAATAATTGATAAAATATTATACAAATAAGGTATTATAAGGTACCTATTTTTAACTAGTTTTTGGTATTTATGTCTTGTTGTTAATTTTATTTTTACCAATGGTTTTGTCCTTTATACATAAAAAAAATTGTTAAAACAATTTATTTTAATTATTAATAACACAGTTTAGACAATTTAAAACCGTATTCTTTTATTTGAGTTTGATAAAACACAGTTTTCTCTACTCTGACTTAAAATGTATGCACAAGAATTAACATATTATGAATTATTTTATTCTAAATATTTGAATTTTATGTTAATAAGTGCATGATTAGTGATTACATCTATTATTTTTAATATATAATTGCATATATTTTATACTAGCTAAAATGTTTAACAAATTTGATTAGAAGTATAACTGCTTTAAGATAATGTAGGCTAATTATTTTAATTTTCATACTATCCTTCCCTTAAAGTAAAAATTGTATTTACTTTTTTTTAATGTTGAATTTATAAAATATTGTTAGTAGTTCTTTTCTAATTGACTATATTTAGGAACATCTAAAGATATTTAATATTTTATTTGGAGATATTAAATTTATGTGGGACATAACGAATACATTATGTTAAATTTTATTTATTAGTATACAAAGGAATAAATTAGAGAATGTTTTTTATGTTTGATATGACTGATATAGTGTTTGCCAGCCAATCTTCTTGGGTCGTATAATCGCCCAATTTGAACCAGATATACCATCAGATCAGTCTTCTCAATATCTTGGAATATTTTATGGATTTTGCTTAGTGGCATCGGCTGCATTGAAGACTTTTGGTTTCACCGCCTACGATATGCTCACAACGCATATGGGCATGAAGATGCGTGTTTCTACATGTTTTCTCATTTATAATAAGGTACCATTGTGGTCCTTTTTATAATTACAGTTTTTAAATAACCCAAAATGAGTGTGTTTGCTTAATTTTTTTTTAGCCTGGCAAACAAAAGATAGCATTTTAATTTAATTTTGAGTGTAAACATAGTGTTAACATATAAAAGTTTCTATTGAGTACTTTTTAAAAGTTTATAATATTAAGTTATTACTTTTATATAAGAGTATTTAACTATTAAATATTTTTTTATTTAATTGAAGTAAATGGCAGTGAAATTTTGTTCACATCAATATAAAATTAAAAAATGTTATTAAAAATATATCATATAATGTAAATTAATACTAATTTATCTTTAAAACATTACTTTAGTTTCATTAATTTTTTAATATTTATACATATTTCTAGATTTTGATATAATATTTCAAGAAATTAATAAATAATTGGTAAATTGAAAATTCTAAATTTTCATTCAAAATTAATATTAATTTTAATGAACATGTGTCTTACTTTAATTACATTTCAATAAATTACACTGTAATATGATTTTAAATGTTATAAATGCATATACATTTTAGTTTAGGGGAAGGAATAATTTATTTAATGTAAACAATTTACATAATTAGTTTTCCAATGTTTTGTATGCTAAATAACAACTTTTTCTAACTATTAAATAATATTTTTTAATTTTTTTTGTGGCCTTATGGAATCAACTATTAATTTGAAATAAAAATGCTTTTGTAATGTTATCTTTTGCTTGTTGAGTTATATATTTTGCTAAACTTGGTGATTTTATTTATGAAATTTGTATTTTAATGAGTTTTTATTTTGCTTTTTTTTAACACAAAGAAAATTATTTCTAGTTAGTGTATATAAATAGAAATAGTTGGAATTCTTATTCATCAAACATTATTAACAAATTGTATTTATAATGCAATTCTTTATGTGAATGAAGTAGTTCATGAATTAACTAGTGATTCAGCACTTATACATAACATAAACTATTACTATTACTACTTTATTACTATACAAAACATAACTTCTTTAAATATAAACCTCTCACTTTATATTTTTATCTTTAGAATGTAATGCGTTTGCACATTATGTACATTATATGTTAATTAGACAATTTTTTAATTTGTAGTTGTTGCTATTTTATTATTTTTAGAAACTACAGTGTATAATGAAATGACTATATTTTAATAGGGCATTAATATACAGAATTTGAATTGGTTTTTCAATTTATTTTATTGAGATATTATTATGTTGTAGGTATTTATACTTAATAGCCAATTGTTAGTCTTTTTATATAAGTTATAGTTAAGATCAAATCCCTGTACAAGTATAAAAGATAAAACATGACTATACTTTTTAAGTACCGACTAAATATTCAAAAAATTATTTCTTAACAATTTATTAATGAAAGTATTGGTTTCTTTTTAAACATTATCTATTTATTATTGGATGCAAATGAATTTATGCTTTATGCTAGTTTATAATTGATTGATTTGCATGTATTGTATATTGTATATATTGAATATTATTAATATTTCATTACTCTTCCAGATCTTTTATAATTTAACTATGTTTTATCATCATGTTTAGTAGAGGGTTATATTATTGACTATAAACACTTATAAAAGTTTTTAAGCGGGATTTTAACTATTTTTCCTTGTACAACATATTAAATAAATTGATAAGCATTAGTATTTTACTCCAATTAATATCATTTATACCACTCCAGAGTTTACCATTGTACATACCTTTGGTTTAGGACATAATCTTGTTGGTTAGTATTTCTATAGTAAATTGATCATTGCATTTAAATGATAACCAACTGATTTGGTTCTCCATTATTTATTTAATTTACTTGCAACTAGAATAAGAACTATACATTTATATTGATTTAAATTTAATTATGTAGGTATATTATTTAGTTTGAATGTATTTATATTAAAAGAACTACTTATTTGTTTTTTTTATTTTATTTATTTATTTAATATCAAACAAAATTAGTAGTTTTTAAATATGTATGTGTATACCTATGTAGAATGTCTCAGCCACTACTCATCGGCGGACTGTTAGCTTTTTTTGACCCAGATGGGTCTAGCTACACCAACTTAAGGGAATCGTACATTTATGCATCATGTTTGGTGTTAAGCATGTTAGCTACAATGGTATTGTATCATTCAACACAATTAGAAATTATTCATTGCGGGATGAAGATACGAGTTGCTTGCTGTTCGACAATATTTAACAAGGTATAATATGTATCAAAAATAAAGAAAAAATAAAAAATAAATTGTTATTAATTGATGAGAGAAGATTATAAATGTAATCCATCTTTGAACTACTTAAAATTGAAAAATAATTTTTTATTTTGTTTAACAAAAAATGTATCAAAAGAATAAATTTAATTAAAAATTAATTATTATGAATTAAGATCTTATATATAAAATAAATTGTTTATTCTCAATGTCTTTAAAAAAATCTACTTATCATTAAAATAACTTATATATAAATTAATATATTTAATAAGATATAAAAAAATTGTAACTATTATGAATGTAACATGTGCTTTTGATAAAAATAATATTAAAAATCTTTGCTTATGATTTATTAAGATATATACTTATTTTTTATTTTTATATTGGATACTTTTAAACTAATAAAAAATAACTGTGTATTATTTTATTTAAGAAAAATATCAATTAGTATTTTTTATTATTCTAAATATACGAAATACAATTAAATATCAGGGTTTATTCAAAATTGATGTTGATGTATAACTTGACAAAATTAAATATTTATAATATTTTAAATATAAGAAAGAACGACTACATATGGATGAACATTTTTGAAAAGTCTTCTTGATACCAGAATACTTGAAGATCCAAAGTAGAAATTTATTTATTATTCTTAAATACAAATTGGTCCAAATACTTAACTAAAATATTTTAATAATTAATAATATTAAACAGTAAATTAAACAAGATATAGACCCCTGCATACAGTATCAAACAGTAATGTTGAAAAAAAAATTTATTATGTTAAAAATAATAATAATCATAAAAGAGCTAAAAAATTTTATATTTCCTAATTAATTATTAAATTAAAATTATTTTAAAATCAGAAGTTGTTGGTATCATTGAAATTGATGTTCTAAGGCAAATTGTATAGTGTAAATTATATTCACATCCCATTTCACTATTTTAATCGCAAAAAAAAATAATTCCTTTTTATATTTAATATTATTGCTAAATATATGTTTATCTATTTCCTTGTTGTGTATATCATATGCGTATAAATTTCATTGATCTTTTATTTTTTTTTCCTTCACTATATTTCTTGTTATATGTAGATTTTGAACTTTTTCATCGCATCCTTCCTCTTGTACATCCTGAATAATATCCAAAAGTGTAAAAGAGATTGGTACATATTTGGATTACTCATGTCTGTGAACTTGGATTTACATAATATATTCTATATGATTAAGTACATGAGCAATTTTTTGTGGGAATTTGATGGGTATATGTATGTGTGTACTATATTTTGTTTAGTTATTTTTATTAATAAATATTTGTACATACTTGGAAAGTTTTATACATTGAAATTTAAAAATATACCGCAACTTTATGTAAATAATAACTTCAATGTTCATTATGAATTATTAATTTTAATTATATAGTCCACAAATTTAGTTTAAAAAGTTTAGTAATAATTTCTAAAACATTAATGTACATACAATAAATATTGTAATTTTTTGTGCATGTCAATTGGGAGCTTAAATGTAATTGTAATTGTATATAGTATGTATATGTCTTTATGCATGAATTGTGACGTAACTTCAACATTGTTATTAGATTTAATTAAAAATAAATTATTTTACAAATTTTGATTAAAATATTTGTATAATTCTTTAGTACAAAACGTTTGAATTTTGATTCTTATCAACTGTTTTTTAATACATAGGCATTACGACTAAGTAAAACTGCTCTTGGTGAAACCACAGTTGGTCAAGTTGTAAATTTATTATCAAACGATGTTAATCGATTTGATATAGCAGTTATTTTTCTACACTATTTATGGATTGGTCCTTTAGAAACCATTGTTGTTACATATTTTTTGTGGCAAGAAGTTGGGGTTTCATCGATATTTGGTGTGGCTGCATTACTTATGTTTATTCCATTACAAGGTTTGTAAAAATAAGAAGAAAACAATGAATGATGAGCAGTTAGATAAATGTTTATAAGTAAAAAAAAATAATTAATGTTTAGGTTGGTTGGGGAAAAAGACTTCTGAACTTCGACTGAAGACTGCCATTAGAACTGATGAAAGAGTTCGTTTGATGAATGAAATAATTTCTGGCATTCAAGTAATTAAAATGTATACTTGGGAAAAACCATTTGCATATCTCGTACAATATGCAAGAAAGTACGTAGTATTATCTTATTAATTAAACAGCTTAATTATTAGTTCTTTATTATGTATAACTTTAGGAAAGAAATTCAACAGATTAGAGGATCATCATATATCAGAGGTGTTTTATTATCTTTCATAGTATTTCATACTAGAATTGCATTGTTTTTTAGTATTTTATCATATGTTTTACTTGGAAACTTTATCACAGCTCAAAAAAGTAAATATTATACTAAAAATATGTACTGTGCTTTAAAAAATAATATTTAATTATGTAAAATACATTTAGGTTTTTGTTATTACTTCATACTACAATATATTGCGGACAACAATGACTGTATTTTTCCCGCAAGGTATTGGACAAATAGCTGAAATGTTAATATCAATTAAAAGACTACAGGTATACGATTTATATGTTATATGTTTATGTTATAATGCAAACAATTATTTATATTTTAAATTGAATATAGATGATATTGAATTCAATAATTTGTAAATAAAATTGAAAAACACTAAATATAATTTTATTATACATTATTTATACGTGTAATCAGACTTAAAAGGTTTATTATGGTAAATACAACTAGACATTTATAAAGAACAATTTTTTATGTTTTTTTTTGTAGAATTTTCTTCTGTACGAAGAAAAGACTACTCAAGTGGCTAATCGTTCAAAAGCTGACAAGGCTTCTAATGGTGTTAGAAAACCAATCATTATAAATGATGAGTTGTTACCCAATAAGCTTGATAATCTAGATAACTCTGAAAACATGAGTGATTTAGGAATAGTTATTTCCAATGCTACAGCTAAGTGGACAGATATTCAAACTGAAAATTCTTTAGAAAACATCAACCTAACTGTAAGGCCTGGTCGATTAGTTGCGGTTATCGGTCCTGTTGGAGCTGGAAAAGTAAATTTTTCTATGAAACATTATTTGAATTATTAATTATCATTACCATATTATTATAGAGTTCATTAATACAAGCAATATTAAGAGAATTACCTCTCTCTGAAGGAAACATTTCTGTGCGTGGTGTTATATCATATGCATCACAAGATCCATGGTTATTTGCTGGTTCAGTTCAGCAAAATATTCTATTTGGTTTGCCTATGGACAAAGAACGTTATAAAAAAGTAACTAACATTTTTTCTTTAAATGTTCCAAATAATAATATGAATTATAATATATTATTTTGCTTTTATTGTATCACAAACTAGATTATAAAAGTATGTGCATTAAAAACCGATTTTGAACAATTTCCTTACGGTGACAGAACAATTGTGGGAGAAAGAGGTGTTTCTCTTAGTGGTGGACAAAGAGCAAGAATTAATTTAGCAAGGTAAAATAAGAAATATGAATAATAAACCTTATTTATACTTTTAGTCAAGTATATAATTTAATTAATCTTTGTTTAATGAGTAGATTATATTAAGATGTTAATGTTAAGAGTTTTAAATTTGTATAATGATAATATGATAAATTATTTTCACATTTGCATAAAATAAGAGGAGGGGTCATAGATTTGTACAATATGATTAAAAATATAATAACATTTTTGAGGATCTAACTTCAATGTTTAATTGTTTTCAAAAAATTTTAAGGAAACTTTCTATATTTTATTCATGAGCTTTAAAAAAAAATATGTATATATATATATATATATATATAAGAAATCTGAATCTTAACTTTAATTTAAAGAATGTTTAAGTATTTCAAATATTTACTTTCAGAGCTGTTTATAAACAAGCTGATATTTATTTATTGGATGATCCTCTATCTGCTGTTGACACACATGTTGGGAAACATTTGTTTGAAAAATGCATAAAAGGTATTGTCGCAATGAATCTGATTAGTTGCATTGTTAACACTAAATAAAAATTTTTTAAGGTTACCTCAAAGAAAAGACTTGTATTCTTATTACTCACCAGTTACAATACCTAACTAAAGTTGATCAAATCATATTAATGGAAAATGTAAGTATTAAATAATCATATGTAATCAATAACCTAATTAATAAATAAATTTTTCCTAGGCAAAAATTTTAGCTGAAGGATCGTATAAAGAACTTCAAGTCTCTGGCTTAGACTTTACAAAACTTCTTGGGTCCTCTGTAGAAATTGCTGTTGTATCTGACAATGAATCTCTTAATTATACAAGTACTAGTAGTTTAAATCCACATTCTCTTTTATCTCGACAAGTTTCTGTTCAGAGTGTGGCATCATCCAATGATGACCCTAAACAGTTCAGTGGTATTCAAGAAGAACCAATTGAAATAGCTGAAACCCGTTCATCTGGGAATATTTCACTTACTGTGTACTCATCATATTTCTCTGCTGGTGGAAATATTTGTAAAATAACATTTTTACTGTTTATGTGTGTTTTCACTCAAGTTTTGGCATCTGGTGGAGATTATTGGATAACATTTTGGTACTTTATTTTATTTATGTCTAGTGATAACTTTATTCAATTTCAAATATTTGTTTAGGGTCAATTTAGAAGAACATGTTTTTCATTATGTAAATAATGTAGATAATAATATGTTAACAAAAATGGATAATAGTACATTTACATCTACTGATAATAGTACTTCAACAACTGATGAAGTATCTAATATCTTATTAGGGTGGACAATTTCTAGGCAAACATGTATCATAGTTTTTGCAGTTTTCACGTTTTCTATGATATTAGCTACCCTTATTAGATCTGCTACATTTGTATCAGTTTGTATGAAAGCATCAATGAATTTACACAATAAAATGTTTAATGCTATAACGAGAGCTACCATGTATTTTTTTAATACAAATTCATCTGGTAAGTATATTCAAAATAAAATATTTTTTTAGTTGTGTATTAATTTCTATTATTTTTTTTTTATCTATTTTATAGGACGAATTCTTAACCGATTTTCTAAAGATATGGGTGCTATTGATGAGATGTTACCAATAGCTTTAATGGACTGTATACAAGTAATATTAAACATTATCAAACTACATCTTTTTTTTTTTTTAACTAAAAATCATGTCCAAATGCTTATTTAGATTGGACTGACATTGTTGGGAATAATTATTGTGGTTGGAATTGTTAATATTTATCTTATGATTCCAACATTTATTGTTGGAATAATATTTTATAAACTCAGAGTTTTCTATTTGTCAACATCCCGAAGTGTCAAACGGTTGGAAGGAGTTAGTAAGCATAGAGCAGTATTTTAAATATTTTATGTAAATCATATATATTTTTTTTAAAAGTTTATTATTTTAACTTAAAATAGCAAGAAGTCCTGTATTTGCTCATTTGAATGCATCTCTCCAAGGTTTAACAACAATAAGAGCATTTGAAGCAGAACAAATTTTATCTAAAGAATTTGACAATCATCAAGTTAGTTTAAGTAATTTTTTACATGCTAAATTTTTTAATTCATTTTTAATTTTAGGATTTACACTCTTCGGCATGGTATTTGTTTATTGCTTCAAGTAGAGCATTTGGGTTTTGGTTAGATGTTGTCTGTCTTATCTATATAAGTATTGTCACATTTAGTTTTCTGATTATTGGCAATAGTAAGTTAAACAAAAATAATGAATTTTAAAATATTTTATTCTGATTAAATATTTGATATTATTTATTTTATAACATTTTAGATACTTATGGAGGAAATGTTGGTCTGGCTATAACTCAAGCAATTGGGTTAACTGGTATGTTTCAATGGGGAATGAGACAATCAGCGGAATTAGAGAACCAAATGACGTCTGTTGAAAGAGTACTAGAGTATACAAATACTCCTCAAGAATCTGCTCTCGAATCTCTTCCCAGTAATATTAAATAAATTATTTTATTACCTTACAATTTTTTTAAAATTATAAAATTCATTTTTAGATAAAAAACCACCAAAAGAATGGCCTCAAAAAGGGCAGATTGTTTTTAAAAACTTTTATTTACGTTATAGCCTAGACACACCACATGTATTAAAAAATCTCAACATTAAAATTGAATCAATGGAAAAAGTATTTTAAAACTAATTTTTTAATTTTGATATTGGTGATATTAAAAATGTTTACTATATTATAGGTAGGAATCGTTGGTAGAACTGGTGCTGGAAAATCATCTTTAATTGGAGCATTATTTAGATTGGCTCTAAATGAAGGTTCAATTTATGTTGATGATCTGGATATCAATGAATTAGGACTACACGAATTACGTTCCAAAATTTCCATTATACCACAGGAACCAGTTTTGTTTTCTGGTACAATGCGAAAGAATTTAGATCCTTTCGATGAATATCCAGACCATGCTCTTTGGAATGCTTTAGATGAGGTAAATACTTATGATTTTTTAATAGATTTATACATAATAATTTACAATTTTACAATAGAGGAATCAATGATTATTGTTTAATTAGGTTGAATTAAAAGATGTTATTGAAGATTTACCCGGTGGACTGAACTCAAAAATGTCTGAGGGTGGATCTAACTTCAGTGTTGGTCAAAGACAACTGGTGTGTTTGGCTAGAGCTATAGTGCGAAATAATAAGATTCTTGTGTTGGATGAAGCTACTGCTAACGTTGATCCACAGTAATAAAAGCTTAAAACATGTATTGATTATAATTATTATAACAATGCATTTTATTTCTAGGACTGATGCATTGATTCAGAACACAATTAGAAATAAATTTCGAATGTGTACTGTTTTAACTATTGCCCATCGTTTGAATACCGTTATGGATTCTGACAAAGTGCTTGTGATGGACGCTGGTAAAATGGTTGAATTTGATCATCCTCATATCTTATTGAAAATCAAGGATGGATTTTTGTATAAAATGGTGGAACAAACCGGTAGGGATACAGCAGATTTCCTACATAGTGTAGCTGCTGAGGTAATTTGAATTATATTTTTAATTTTTTTCTTCTAAGAATATGAATATTAATTGAATCATGTTATTTTGGTGATTTTATAGAGCTACAATACTATACAGAGAACTAAAGAATCCCCTATTAGATTAATTGATGAAGATGTTGATGACTACTCAAACAAAAATGACTAGTATCTATTTGATTTATAGGTTTATTAATTTTATTCACATGGTGCCTTCGTTTAAAATTTAATTTTGCTAATTTAAAATTCATAATTTTACATTTAATCTAATTAATTATTTATAGTTTTTATATCTAAAGCAGACCTTATACAACTAAAATAGTATTTCATCTTAAATGTTTTAATGAAAATCAAATTAGTATATATGTAATCGAATAATATTATTTTCAATACATTTTATTATATTTTTTTTATGATTCAGTTTGTATACTATAGCGATAAGTCAATTGTTGTCTGTTAAATTCTTCATGTTATTATTTTTAAAATAAAAATTATAACATTTGTACTTAACAATTATTTGTTTTTATTTTTAAAAATTTCATATAATAATTTAGATAATAGTTTTTCATAAATAAAAATTAATTTCAAATTTTTGTTTATTTTTAAGATATCCAATTTTAAGCTTAACTTTTTTTATATATTATTTTTCTTTGATTGCATTAGAAACTATATAAGTAAAATAACAATGCAGAACAATATTATCATCTATTTTTGAAATATTTATTTCTTCAAGTTTTTTTAAGTGTAATCATTTTATAGTTTTTTTTTTTTTACTTTTAATCGACATGCGGTGTCCTAGGGTACTTTCTTCTCCACAAATATTTTGTAAATTCTTTTTTTAGTGTATTCAATTACTAGTATTACAGTATTTTTATTACTTTTTACAAGTATTACAAATACAGTATTCTGAATACTTTTTCAACATTCAATCAAATTTTCTAAATAATTTCATTAATTTTCCAGATTAATTGGATTTGTATTCAAATAATTTATAATAATATAATTTATTATATAAATTATGTGTATTATCAGTAGGGCCCGAATTTTTATGCAAATGCATATTCTTCTACTTTTGACTTATAACAATTCTGATTAAATATCTTGATGTTTCGTAATACGTAGATTCGACTATTAATTTCTTTTATTGCATATTTTTGCATATTTGCATCAAAATGCATAAAAGTTGCATATTTCTGGATAATTACATAATATGTGCATATTTTATAAATACTTAATAAAATATTTTAAATTTTACTCGAAAGTTTGTTATACATTTTATCCTAAACTTATTGGTATTACTTATATGGCCCATGGGCTTCATAGATTATCAGAAACTATTAGGGATAAATTCTCAGATTTTGATTTGTTGATATCTAATACAAAAAAAGTTTTTTTGAAAGCACCTACTTGGGTAGGTACTTTTAAAGAAAAATGTCTAAACTTAAGTTTGCCACCACAACCTATTATTACCCGATGGGGAACGTGGCTAGATGCCGCCTTTTATTATGGTATGAATTTCGACAAAGTCAAAGAAGTGGTCGACACATTTAATAACTCAATCAAAAATGAACTTTCGGTAATTTTATCAAATTTCCAATGTATAACAGACACTATCACATGTCTAGAAAAATAGGGTGTTAATCTTGGAAAAAGTCTAGAATTGGTTCAAAGTGTTGAAAATAAATTGAGTGAAGGAGAACGTGGTATTGAATTTGCTAAAGTGAAACTATTATTATTATTATATTATATTAGTATTATCAAAAAATCCTGGATTATCACGAATAAAAAAAATTTCTGGAATTATAAGCAGAGAAATAAGAAACGATGATGAAGATCTTGCAGAGTTGTCACCAGAAGATATTTCTTATTTCAAATACATACCCATTGTGTCAGCAGACTTGGAAAGAAGTTTTTCGAAATATAAGGCGATGTTACGTGACAATCGTAGAAGTTTTCTATTTGATAATTTAAAAGCACATTGTGTTACATCATGTTGGTACTAATTCAATAATTAATATACATTTTTATGCTAGACCTTAACACATTTTAAATACTTATAATTAAATTGTATTTTTTTTCGATTAATACAATATTTTTTAATTTTATATACATATATATATATAATTATATAAGTTTTATTTTTTCACTCTGAGCTTAGAGTAAAACAAAATGTATGGTTGTGTTATCATTATGTTCACTAAATAATGCATGGCATTTTTGTATGAATATAAATTGATAATTCATTTTACAACCATTTTACTATAAGGTTCTAAGAAAGATATATGAAATAATATTTTTGACAAGTGCATTATTTTTTTTGAACCCCTCTCCCCTCTAGTAAATTTGAATGTACACCACTGATTATTCTGTTCATTCATAAATGTTGAATCGAAAAAATAAATTATTTAATACCATTTGAATTATTATTTTTGCTTTCGAATTCTGCTAAAATATATAAGTATATATATATATTCTAATATATTTGGAATACTTTTTGGAAAGTGCTGTGAATAACTATAAAGTTAGTGTTTATAATACAATTAGTTTTTTATTCAGATATTTTTAATTTACATTTATTTTTATAAATTATGTTCCGCCTAACCCTACAATACTTCATCGACATCATAAGTAGGTCACATCTTGAAACGATCAGTCCAAGAGGCACCTACCATACCCTTCTATACCATGTAATAGGGATACAGAACTCTCTCCCAGAGCTGTTGTCCATAAGCCACCGGTGTGTGCGTAAGGGGCTCTTGATCTTAGGTCGTCAATGCGTGAGCACCAACCGTCAGATTAATAAAGGAGTCTTTTGTGACGAGTGATCACTGTGTACGACTATTTAATTTTTATAGTTTATTTATTTGATTTAAGTTTTCTGCGCGAGTGTTGAAAAGTGTCTAATTGCAGTACATCAAATCCTGTGTTTGTCTCATTTCAGTCCAACCTCATTAGTGATGAGCCATTACACCTGCGATAGTTGTAATTGCACAGCTCGTTGGAATTCGAATACCTGCTACAAAACAAGTAAGTACTATTTTATTTGGCTTGCCAGACTATCCAGTTGCGCTAATCGGCTTTCGAATCTTTCTAACCCCAAGAGCCCTCCCTTAAACAAAGAGAAAGATAATCAACCCATAATACGTACTTACATGATACCACCATACATCTCATCATTGTATTCCTTATTTATTTTTATTTTTTTTTTTTTTTAAGTTTTTCCGGATTATTACAGTCTGTATCAAATACAGTTTTTATTACCCCCTTATTTATTAGGTATTAATATACTTTAAACACTACACTTAAACGTTCAATTTTTTATTTCTTAACAACTTAGCTAACCATGTAGGTCCATCACTGCCACCACTATTTCATTCCAACGTCGACATTATTACGAACCAAGTCGTCTGTGTATTATTTGTATACTAGTGTTATTGTATTTTATTTGATAAACTGTGTGGCGTATTTTATTATTTGTATATATATATATATATATACTGCTAAGTATTCCCAGGGTGTCCTATACTAAGTATATTATAATTAAAATTATTATTATTCTTTAATTTATTTATGTGTATTGTATAATATAATATTTGAGTAGGTAACCCACTCCGCTCCGGCATATAGCATCACACGCTAGTCGTTGCCGACAACCGCCGATCGTTGTAAGATCGGTAACGGCGTAACACAACCCTAGTTAATGTTTATTATAACATACAATTTAAAAGAACTTTGTATATGGTATATATATATATATATATACAATAAAAATTATATACAAAGTGTTTGGTAGTCACTAATCTAATGAATCTAGTAAATTGTTGCCGATCATACAACACTGTATATGTTACGGTAAAAGATGAATATTGGTGAATGTCGTCATTCTCCGGTGAATGACGTCTTTTACCAAAATGATTCGATTATGTAGGTAAATGATGTAAAAAACCAGATTTTAAATTCAAATGTACATCTTTCACCGGTCATTGATGTCATTTACCAAAACTAGTGGTAAATGATGATAATTCTCAAATAATACACTGATTTTTTTACTATAGGTATTATTTATAATAATGATTTATTGTTAAAATAAAAAAATAATAAAATAATAAAATACGTGCATATTACAAATTATTTATTTGTACAATTTTGGTTACTATGACATTTTGAACTGCACAACATTTTCGCTGCATTGCAAGCACATTTTTTAGTACCACAACCAGTTTTGCAGTTGCATCGATTAAATCCTTGATGACCAGCTATTCCATGTCCTGCTTCTTCTCTTAATGTTATTTCCCTGTCTTTAATTTTTTTCATGGCTTCATCTAGCTCTAGAAATTTTTTTTTACATGGAGAAATTTGTGCTCATGTATATTTGTGTTTCAACACCCCATATTCTGTACCTGGTTCAAGCATTCGGGTATTTATTTTATTTAAATTAAATAAACATTATCAAATTAAAATTGGCTAACATAATTTATACATGTCATCTTCGCATGAAATAATAACAGCAAGTAAATTACGCAGAGAACCTCGTGCTCTATCAACATCTGGTATTGGGACACGAACAGTTGTATGAAGCTTATTCGGCACCTACACGCTTATCGCTGATCGTTCACACCGACATAAAAGTATTAAACGTCATTCTCCAATTAAACTGGTGATTGACGACAATAACCGGAGAACGTCTGCATTTACAACGTTTACCAATTTTTAGGTAAATTATGTCATTTACCGGGGAATCACGTCTTTTACCCCTTTTACATCATTCACCGTAACATATATAATTCATAAATGAATATTTGATTGCATCTAGGAGTAGCTTTAGGAAAGCATGAAAATGTATAAAATCGTTATAGAACCGCAGAGAAACTTCAATTCGTTAAGTTTTAAGTTCTGAGTTTAAGGGGAGAGGGCCAATACCCTACCAATATTCGCCTATGATAATTTATTAAAACTAAAATATTAAGTATATTGTTAAGTATATTACTATGTATAAGTAATCCATTTTAATAACGGGAGTTGTTCAAACGAAAATCTTGATTGAAAAGTTAAAATCGTAGTAGATCAGGGAAATGGATATTCGTTCAACAAAATATTGATGGGGAGTGAAGAATATTAGCTAAAAGTACTTTACAACAAATTTTATTTTGTACGTTACCAACGAGATTAATATTATTTAATAAATTAAATAATATAAACAATCAAGAATGTTAGTTCGAAGGATTATTATGCATATCAATGATTAGACGCGATCAGGACATCGTTATTCTACGATGTCGTGAGCTTTGTCAACAATTCATGGTCGATATGTATTTAAAGATAG